GACATGGGACTGGCTGGAGGGAAGTATCTGCCATCCACTGGATCACTTCCCAATATCTGCAACAGCTGGGGCCAGGGGACAACCTGAAGCTAGGAAACAAGAACTCAATCTGAGTCTACCCAGTGGGTGGCAGAGACTCCAATATTTGAGCCACCATGTGCTTCCTCTCTGTGTGCTCAGTAACAGGAAGCTGAATGGCAGTGGAGCCCAAAGTCAAATCTGGGGTCTCCAGTGTAGCATGAAGGTCTCCCAAGTGCCTGTCTCTCATTTTAATTCTGACTTTATCTAACTGGTGTTAGATTTTTTGTTGTTGTTGTTCATTTTTTCCACTGAAACTTATAAAAGTTGCTATTTCAAAAATCTGGAGACTTTTGGATGACCGCCTTAGGCTTAAGAAAACAGTCATTACAGTTAAGGAGGATAGATATTTTTGAAGTATTAAGAGTGGAGTTGCCAAGTAAAATACAGGATTTGTAGCTTATTATGAACTTGCAGTAAATAACAAGTAATTTTTTAGTATAACTGTAACCCATTCAAGTATATATCAGATATTTTCAGAAACATGTTTATAGTGTAAGATTGTTTGTTTACCCAAAATTCAAATTTAACTCTGCATCTTGTATTTGTTACATCTGGCAACTCTAAGAGGAGAACTTTATATATTGCTAGGTCCGACTGTATGAAAACAAAGCTAGGTAATAATAGAGTTTGTACCTCTTGAAAATGTTGTTTGGACAGTGTAGTTATCCATAACTCTGATCATGAATAGCAGAGAATATCAGGAAAGTGATGTTGCTGTGCCTCGATATTTTAAGAGTATGAACTCAGCGTTGCAAATTTACAGACATCAAGGACAAACTAAAGAACTTGGGATGCAGGCCCTTGAGGAAGAAACAAGCTTAGCAAAAATTCCTAAGCTACATTTAGGCATCTGTTCAATGGCAGGTCCTTAAAAGAAGAAAGTAAATGCATTTAGCTACTAAATCTGCTTTCTTATGCTGGGGATATTGGAGAATGGACTCTGGATAAGAAATGTCAGAGTTTGTTATATAAAGTGGAATATTAGCTTGTTAAAGGTGGGAATAGTAAGAGTGCCCAGATAATCTATGTTCATAGTCTCTCAAAAGCCTGAGAATGTTCTGATAGTGTTTTCAGAATTTGTGTATTACGGATAGTTTGGCGCTTTTACAAACATTACCTTTGTTACTAGTCTCTGTGTTTACTTAAGCTTGATTATGAAATATTTCCAAAATATAGAAAAATTTAGAAAAAATATGTCAGACAGGGGTAGCAAGTGTTAATTTTGCCTTTTATGTGTCAGATTATTTTCTGTTAAAAATTTGAACAATTTTTTTTTTAATTTTCTCGCTTCCCTTTCCCAGTCTGCTTCGAAGCTGGTGTATATGATTCTCAAGCATGTTTATACATATGTCTTTGTTTTAAAAAAGTTTTGTTTGTTTTTGTTTTTTATATGTAAGGCAAAGTAAGACTGGGAGAAGAAGAGACAGAGATTCAATCTTCTGGTTCGCTCCCTAGATGGCCCCAATATCCAGGGGTAATATTGAAACTGAAATCATAGCAGTTCCATGCTCCGACTGTGTTTTCTAACATGATTGGAAACTGTTAAAAAAATAGTTAAGCCTAAAGAAAGCATTCAGATAGAGGGCACACTGTTAGGTGGTAAATATTATTTTTTTGTAAGACTTTTTTTTTTATGAGCCAAATGTTTCTTTATTCATTTCTTGCATTTGAAGTATTCTTCAGTGACATCTTTGGCTTGAGATTCTTTGCCATAGTCCTTAACGACTACGCAACTGCAGCCAACCACTTTACGGGGTTTCCCCTCTTGGTCAATTTTACAGAGGCCTACCCGTTCCCCAGATTTCTTGTTGTCATCAACCTTAATGAGGTTGATCTGGTATTCAGCACACAGGGCCTCCACCAACTTGACATACCATGGGCTCATCACAATTGGATGCCAGCACACAGGTGAGCTTGGCGCTTGTCTAAGGCTTTGGTAGCTTCACGGATGCCACGCGCGAGGCCATCGTGGATGAGGGCAGTCTTGAGCACCTCTTGCAGAGCAGTGTTCACGTCCATTACACCTCCAGCAGCGATGCCTTCCTCGGCCATGGTGGTGGCTTACGAGTGAAGCCCAATCTTGAATGCACTCAGGCCTCGCCTCCACGCGGCAGGAAAGAGATGTAAGACTTGTTTTTTTAAAGATTTATTTATTTATACTTATTGGAAAGGTGGATATACAGAGAGGAGGAGAGACAGAGAGGAAGATCTTCTATCCAATGGTTCACTCCCCAAGCGGCTGCAACAGTTGGAGTTGAGCCAGCCCAAAGCCAGGAGCCAGGAGCCTCCTCCAGATCTCCCATGCAGGTGGAGGGTTCCAAAGGTTTGGGCCATCCTTGACTGTTTTCCTAGGCCACTGGCAGGGAGCTGGATGGGTAGTGGGGCCTGCCGGGATTCGAACTGGCGTCCATGTGGGATCCTGGCGCGTTGAGGGTGAGGACTTCAGCTGCTGTGCCACTATGCCGGGCCCCATTGATTTCTTAGATTGATGTTCCTTGATAACTGAGAGCATTTGGTCTAATGTCAGAATAATTGATTTTTGTACCAGCTTTGGTTCCTGCCTCATGTTTTTTGCTAATGTGGACACTAGCAGGAATCTATGTTAGCTCAACTATTTGCATTCCTGTCACTTCTGTAGGAGACCTTGATTGAGTTTCCGGCTCCTGACAACTCCTGGCTATTGTGGGCATTTGAGGAGTGAATCTCACCTTTTTGTGACTCTGAAATAAATACCATGTCAAAGAAAGTTATTTTCTAAATGTGTCTTTAACCTGCTGTATCATCTGTGTACTGCTGGAAATACTGATTCTCCTGTAACTCTTGTTGGTGTCTGATTTGCTTCCAGTTGACAGCACAATATATATCTCTAGATGTTTCCAGAATGTTTTTTAGTTGAGAGTTGTTTTAAAGGCTGGTTTATCTTATGTGCCATTCTTTAGGGAACCGTGATGGAAAACAAAACCTGTTGATTATGTTTTTGTTAAAAAAGAAACTTTAGGGCCCGGCGCGGTGGCGCAAGTGGTTAAAGGTGCTCGCCTTGCACGCCCGGGATCCCATATGGGCGCAGGTTCTAATCCCGGCAGCCCCGCTTCCCTTCCAGCTCCCTGCCTGTGGCCTGGGAAAGCAGTCGAGGACGGCCCAAAGCTTTGGGAACCTGCACCTGCGTGGGAGACCCAGAAGAGGCTCCTGGCTTCAAATTGGCATAGTATCGGCCCGTTGCGCTCACTTGGGGAGTGAATCATCGGACGGAAGATCTTCCTCTCTGTCTCTCCTCTCTGTATATCCGCCTTTCCAATAAAAAAAATAATAAAAATAAATCTTTATAAAAAAAAAAAAAGAAACATTAACCAGGATAATCTCCCAGGAGTATTACATTTAAAGGACTCTACTAATAATAAATGTAATTGGGCTGTTTAACTAGAGGCTAGTTTTAGATGCTTTTTTTTTTGTAATATTGAATCAGGGAAGATGTTGGCTGTTTTTTTTTTTTTTTTTTTTTAGTAGTTACTTATTTCCAAGTCAGAGTTACAGAGAGAGAAAAAAATAGCGGAGATTTTCTGTCCATTAATTTACTTCCCTAATGTGTGCTGTGGTCTGGGAAGGGCCAGGTTGAAGCCAGGAGCCTGAAGTGTCTTCCTAATCTCCCATGTGGATGCAGTGGCTCAAGAACCTGGGATGGTTTGTGCTGCTTTCCCAGGCACATAAACAAGGAGTTGGATGAGAAGTGGAGCAGCCTTGACTCCAGCTGGTACCCACCTGGGATGCTGGCATTAGAGCCAAGTCACTGGACCTAGGTCTCAAAATGTTAATAAGGCTATAGCACCAGTTTCTTCTCTCTTTCCCTGGGAATTCTCTCCTTATATAACTAATTTAATTCTTTACTGTTCTCCAGTCACCTTATTATGATTATTTCCTTTTCTCTGTTTCTCTTCCTTTGATTCATATAGCCAAAATATCAGATATGCTCCACTGCTGTTCTGTTTGCTAGGAGCCTCATTGAAATGATGATCTTGGGGACAGAAATGCTATAACAAGAAAAGCTACTACCTGTGATACTGGCTTCCCATGTTGGCACTGGTTTGTGTCTTGTCTACTTGCCTTGTGAGTCAGCTCCTTTCTAATGGCCTGGGAAAAGCAGCAGAAGATGGCTCCAGTGCGGAGATCGTGCCACCCATATAGGATACCAAAAGAGTTTTCTCACTCCTGGCATTAGCCTGCCATAGCACTGCATCTTGCAGCCTGGGGAGTCAACCAGCAGATGGAAGATTTCTTCTGTCTGTCCCTGCCGCTCTTAACTCTTTAAAAAAAAAAAGAAACTCTTTAGAAAAAAAGGAAATAGTGGTCTTTATCAATGAGCTTAATTTTTGTGGGGTAAAATAAGTTACTTAGTAAGAAAGATGCAAATATTAATTTATATTGTGCTTTAATACAGTTTTTAGATTTGGTGTTCAGGAAAGATGTTTTCTCAGTAGTTATGTTTTTCACCAAGATTTTAAGTCTAAGAGACAGATGCATCAGGATCAGATAGCAGAGAATTCCAGACAAATGGAACCACTAGACAGTTATATAATTTGAAAAGAATGAGTATCAAACAAAATTGGGGAAAAGATAAGAAAATGTCTTTGTTGATATTAACAGCAATAAGACCATATAAGGCCTGGGAAGGTGTAGATTTTCAGTGTATGTTGTAGTGTGAAACAGTTGTCTGTTTCTTTTTCTTTCCCTCAACCTTAGCCAATGTGTTAATAGAAAATCTGAATTGTTAGAAAAGTATATCAGGAGAGATTTTCAGTTGGTAGGGATTGTTTTTTGTTAAACTAGTTGCTTTTTCTTTTTTTTCACAGGTCAGTTTATTAGATTTGATTACATTTCCTTTCTCTGAACACATACATTTTTTTGTTTTGTTTTGTTTGTTTCAGCCTTTCTGATTGTATGGATCACTGATTGAATAATAGATGGCCTTACCTCGTCTTACAGGAGCCTTGCGCTCCTTTTCAAATGTCACCAAGCAAGATAATTATAATGAAGAAGTGGCTGACTTAAAGGTAAGTTTTTTACATGAAAGCTATTATCAATATATAGTATAGGCACATATTTGACATTCCTATTCTCTGTTCTGAGTCCTTAAAATGGAAATTTATTCTTGTTTGGTGTGTGATCAAGAAGGAAACTGTTATACTGATGTTTCCTGTTGGAATACTTTTGTTATGCACCTGCAACTGAAATGTCAGTGACAATATAAAGAAGGATGATAATAAATCTTTTGTTAACTTTTCTTCCCTTTAAGGATCTGCCATGGTGATTTTTGTTATGTAATTTGGTACCTTAACTCTGAAACGTATAAGGTTTTAAATCCTTGGGTCCAGCATGATGGTATAGTGGTTAAGGTCCTCACCTTGCACGCCCGGGACCCCATATGGTTGCTAATTCTAATCCCAGCAGCTTCGCTTCCCGTCCAGCTCCCTGCCTGTGGCCCAGGAAAGCAACCGAGGATGGCCCAAGGCTTTGGGACCCTGCACCGGCTTCAGAGGCCCAGAAGGGGCTCCTGGCTCCAGATTGGCTCAGCTCCAGCCGTTGCGGCTGCTTGGGGAGTGACTCATCGGATGGAAGATCTTCCTCTCTGTCTCTCCTTTCTGTATATCCACCTTTCCGATAAAAATAAAATAAATTAAAAAAAAAAAAAGCTTTTAAATCCTTATAGCAGTTTTATTGATTGAACAGAAACAGTATTTATACCTAAAAATCAAAATTAAAACAATCTGTTGAGCACAGTAATTTGTCTCCTAATTGGTGGGAGAGATATTTAAGACTTGCAAAACTGTCATTTTTGAAGCTCCTTTATGACTAATATATCACAGTTCTAATTCCAACAAGAAGCATTCCATGTACATCAGACACTGTTTTGATGTTTATTGTAATCAGTAAACCTGGTTTAGTAGTAATTATCATGTAGACAGGTATTCACATATAATTTATTCCCATAAAAAGTACTATTGTTACTCTTCCTGTACATATAGCTAAATTGAAGGAAGTTCTACATAGATTCATTTTCTAAACCACAAATCAGGTAGAAGGTTGAACAAAGAATTTCTGAAGTCTTAGAAAGGTATAAACATATATTTACAAATTTATAATTGTACAAATGTACAAGTGTGTATATGACAAACTGTCAGGATATTCTTTATATAGTTATCAATAAAATATTTAAAGGATGTATTCCTAAAAATGGTCTTGACATTTAGTCTATTTGCATAAAATAACATAAAATATCACAGATTGCGTGGTTTAAACAACATAAATTTGCTTTTGCACAGTTCTGGAGCTAGAAGTCCAAGTTTAAAGTCTTGTCAGGCTTGTTTCTTCCTAAGCTTCGTTCCTTGGCTTCAGAGAGTACATCCATCTGTATGAGTACATCTCTTTGTCCAGATTTTTCCTTCAATGGATACCACCTTAAGGGAATTAAGGTCTACACTGAATGGGTGGGCAGGTGGACTTTTCTTTTCTTTTCTTTTCCTTTTCCTTTTCCTTTCCCTTTTTCCTTTCCCTTTTTCCTTTCCCTTTTTCCTTCCCTTCCCTTCCCTTCCCTTCCCTTCCCTTCCCTTCCCTTCCCTTCCCTTCCCTCCCCTCCCCTCTCCTCCCCTCCCCTCCCCTCCCCTCCCCTCCCCTTCCTTCCCCTTCCCTCCCCTTCCTCTCTTCATCCCTTTCTCTCTCCCTCCCTTCCTTTTTCCCTTCCTCCTCCCCTCCCTTCCTTCCTTTCTCATTCTTCTTTCCCTTTCTGTCTGTCTCTCTTTTTCTTTCATCTTAAAAGCTTAATCATTGTTTTTGAATGTTCTGTCTCAAATGCTGTTACATTCTGAGATACTAAGGCTAGGAGTTTTAATAAAATGACTTATTGATTTATTTAAAAGGCAAAGTTACATAGAAAAGGGGAGAGATAGCAAAAGATTTTTCCATGTGCTGGTTCATCCCCAAATGGCCTCAGACACCAGTGCTGGAACAAGCTGAAGCCTAGTGCTTCACCCATGTCTCTCACATTAGATGCAGAAATTCAAGCACTTGGGCCATCTTCCACTGATTTCCCAGGTGAATTAGCAGGGAGCTGGATCAGAAGTGGATCAGGTCTCAGACTGGCACACATGTGTGATGCCAGTGCTGCATTTGGTAGTTTAACTTGCTGTGCTAAAGTGATGTCCACAGTATGTCAATTTTGAGGGGACACGATTCACTTCCTGGCTTATGAAAAGTTAGCAAAGGTGAGGATATTGCTGTCACAGTGATGTATTTATTTATTTTTGATATTCAGTTTACTATAGTTTGATCCTGCATGGGATTTGGCATTACTTATGTATGCATCCAGTATTTCAAGAGTCACAGGAAGAACAAAATTTATTATCATACTTACATTTTTATTGTTTTTGGACACTTTGGAATTTTGCATCTTTTAAGTTACAGAATGTTGCTAAAAATGGAAGTATTAACGGATTTAATATTAAAGAAGAAACTTTTGGGCACATTTAAATACTTAAAGGATGATTGACTTTTTTCTAAGATTATTTTTAATTGAAAGGTGGAGTAAAGAAGAGAGACCGTCTGTCTGCTCATTCACTCCCCAAATAGGCCCAAAATATCCTAGTGGGCGAGGTGTAAGCCAGAAGCCTGGCATTCCCTTCAGGTCTTCCCTGTTGGTGGCAGGTGACCAAATACCTGGGCTACTTTCTGCTGTTTTTCTAGGTCCATTTGCCGAGAGCTGGATAGGTGGCAGAGAAGCTAGAAGCAAACCAGCTGGTCTCTAAATTGGGACACCAGCATTGCAGGTGGCACCTTAACTCACTGCACCACAGTACCAGCTCAAGGATGATTATTTTCACTGGGTAAAGGTCAATGAAACTCAGCAATATTGTTGAGAACTTGAAGACTTGAAGCTTAATGAACTATGCTTAGGAAGAAGCAAGCTCATGTAATATAGTTTATAAAGGAATTGGCCCTTGGCTGCCTTAAGAAAATAAAAAGCAGTCTTAAATTTCTAACTCCTTACTTGATTCTATTGGAGAATAATAAAATTCTTTCTTAGTAGAATAGAATTTTATTGCTGGAAGTGCATAAGTGGTTTTTCACAATAATTGCTCCATTTAAAGATTGATTTTTAGGAGTAGATTTTTGGCAATCTTTAGGTAGATAATGATAAGGAATTTTGTGAGACACAAAACAGTTCATCTTTACAGTTTGAAATTTTACATTTCCACAGCAATTAGTATAGGATACATTTTATATAATGTTGCGGTCTTTTTTTTTTTCTCTTAAGATTATATTTATTTGAAAGGCAGAATTAAAGGAGAAAGGACATGGGACATGGAGAGAAGGAGATAATAGGGAGATTGATTTTTCCATTCTTTGATTCCCTTCTAAAATTCTAGAACAGATAGGGCTCGTCCAGGCTAAAGCTTAGGAGTCCCAAGTTTCTGGGTTTTCTGCATTGATGGCAGAGGCCCAAGTATTTGGGCCATCTTCTGCTACTTGCTCAGACACATTAACAGGGAGCTGTATCAGAACCTGCCCAAATAAAACTAGATGATACTGCAGTATGGTATGATTTCATTGTAGGCAGCAGTGTAACTTGTACAACACTGACCCTAGTGTTCCAGTCTTAAAGTTGTTTCTGTCCTCAAGGTTCTTTTTTTTCTTTTTCCTGTGTTGAGAAAACAGGTTAAAGAACATTTAAAATTTGTGTATAAGAGTACATGCTTATTCGTACCATTTCATGTATTCCTATAGGCTTAGTTTTCGAAGATTTATTGCTTTATTTGAAAGACAGAGTGATAGACATGATGAGGGAATGAGGGAGGGAGAAAGAAAGACAAAAAGTCACCTTCCATCTGCTGGCTTAATCCCCAAAATAACCACAGCTGTTGGTGCTGAACAAAGCTGAAGCCAGGGGCTGGGAGCTTCAACTGGGTCTCCATGTGGTTGACAAGGACTCAGGTACTTGTCACCCATTGGCTCCCAGTTACATTAGCAAAGGGCAACATCAGAAGTGGAGCAGCTGGACTCATGATTTGAACTGGCACTCTGTATGAAATGCTAGTGTAACAAACAGCTTCTAAATGTAGGCTCCTTTGGAAGGCCTTCTCAAACTTTTCTGAGAAAGGGAAATGGTATATACTCATAATGAGTCTCATTTTACTGTAAGTTTTATGTTACAAAATGCTCAACATGAAAAGAAATAGAAAACTAAGGTGAACCTGTAAGTACCTTAGATCTGTTATAACAGCTTCATTCAATTTGTGGCAAATATTTCATGTCTGCCTCTCTCCTGAAAAATGCCCAATTTTGCCACTCTTAGATTGACTAGTCCCAGCCTAAATTAGCAAACTGAGGTACAACAGTAGTGGATTTTGCGGTATCAGCAGTGCCAGGTTTAAGTTTATAGTTTCTATTTGACCTGCTACTTTCTTTGGCTTGAAAGCTTCATGATTTTTATGCGGGGATCAAAGCCAGTGACACACGATTTTTATTATTTTTTTGTGATCAGTTCTTCAGAGTGAGTACACTTTTTGTTGTGTCAAGAAAATAGTGAAAGAAGAAGAGAATCTTCTCAATGCTTAACCTATCCAGGAATCATGTTTAGAACAGCAGTGCTTACTTGAAATATTAAGTGTTCATGAGAATCTGATTTTCTTTAAATGCTTTTTGATAAAAAGCATTTAAACACATATTGTCTAAACTGGTAAAATAGCAATTTGAGAAATGAAAAAATGTGGGATATGTTCAGTTGTCATTCTCTTGTAGATGTTGAACTTCTTTGATGTATGAAAATGATTTTATACTGGATGTATTAATTAAAAATGTAAAAAATGTTTTCTTAACTAACTTAAAACAAATAATCTGTGAAGTCACATTTGAGTAAGTTCCTTCTGAAAGCATCAATTTGGATATGAATTATGTACATATATGTTTATATATATATTTGAGGGTAGTGTCAAGTTGTATTATGTGCTTCAAAATATATGTGGTCACTATGGATCTGAGAAAAATTGGAACCATTACTTCTATACATTATGCTGTTTTTCAGGTGAAGAGAGCCAAACTTCATGAGCAAGTTTTAGATTGTGGCCTGACATGGAAGAAGATAATAGAATTTTTGAATGAAAGACTGGAGAAAAGTAAAATGCGAAGCATCAATGAAGACTTAAAAGATATATTACATGCTGCAAAACAAATAGGTATAGTTGATTTTCTTTTTAAGAACTAGCAAAATTCAAAAATAAATTCTTTAAACTACGTACTATATAGTGAAAAACATTTCCAGGCAACTATTCTATGAGCTTAGGATATACTAGAGTAGTTGGGGAGAAGGCAGAAGCAAACTAACAAATATAATTCAATCAAACATGATTTATAGGGTGTTAGGATTTGAAAACCACTACCTTGACTGAATTAAGTATAAGATAAATTAAAATAATGTATCACTAATGAAACTTAAAAGATGTGTAGCTCAGTCTTCTTATTACAGATGTCTGTCTAATACAAGGAGAGTGGCAGTACTTAAGATGCACTTACACTGCTCCATTTCCACCTTACACTCTCAGTCTCTTCAATTGATTATATTTGAAGAACAGTATCCTTAAAATAGTAATCAGGTAATATTAACATCACTTGCTTTCCCATAGTCAAATCCTGTGAATTTAGAATGGAGATCTTCCATCCACTAGTTTATTCCCCAAATGTCCAGTACCTATGGGCTGAATCAGGCTACAGTCAGTAACCTGAACTCCACCTGGGTCTGTCATGGATGTTGCAGGGAACCCTGATACCTGAGCCATCATGTTCTGCTTCTTAGGATGTATATTAACAGGAAGTTGAATTGGAAGAATATAAGCCATAACTTGAACCATACACTGATACAGTATGTGGGCAAAATGCCTACCCCGTGGTTTGTCTTTTAGCACAGTTTTGTTTTAATTGAATTAAACAGGTAAGGCAAGAGAATAAAAAATAACTCCATTTCATTTGAATATAACAAAGTATTTGGCACTTGTTTAAGACCATGTATATGGTAGTATTACATAAGTAGTGTAATGTTTCTCTTTGCATATATCTGGAGGTCTTTTCCTTATGTGTTAAAGTAACTGTCCTTGATGTTCAGCTTGTAAAGTACATTTGATCTCTGACTACATGGCTTAAGAGTTTTCTCTTATGTTCTGTGATTCCTTTCTGATCTCAGTAGACTTTGCTCTATTAGATTATCACATGTTACATAAGTTTTAGGATCTTTTTCCCATTGTTTGATAATTGTTTACTTTCTTCTCACTGATAGACCTTGAATGCCGTGATGATGCAGAGAATATTGTATCTTTGTATTCTTGTGTACTGTAAAGAATATAATAGCTTTTTCAGTAAACCAATGAAGTATTGAGAAGTCAGTGAAATGTCTGCTATCAACTTTACTTACAGTCCTGATGGTGTCTTAGAAGTGGCAGCTTTTCCCTTTTATGTAAATTTTTACTGATTTATTCCCATAACCACTGTTTACACCTGACATATTCTTTCATGTTTTTACAATTTGATTTTCCCTGCAAGAAAATTTTAATTATAAAGTAGGACAGGTTTTTGAAGGAATAAACATGGATGGACTAACTTGTATTCTATGTAACAGTAAAGCTTTGTTGAGACACTTTATGTGCTTAAAACCATTTTAAAAAATAAAATGGCGAAAATTCACAGTGGCAGTCAGAATGAATGTTTTAAATCTTTTTTTATATTTTTTTCTTTTTTTTTATTTTGACAATCTTTACATAGTTAATTTGGGTAAAAAGGTTCAAGGGCAACAGGGAAGTGGGTAAGACTATTATTTCCATATTGTTTCCTACATGTATCTGAGGTAAATGGGGATGTTAAGGGAGAAGCACCACCCAGTTTCCCATCCACCGCAAGTCCCAGATGTGGAGCATGCTCTGAGATACTTGCTCAGGTGGTTTTGATAGTTCACCAGTAATGAATTGCTACCAGTCTCGCCTCTCCAAACATTATGAGGTCGTTTAAGAATCCACTAATTGACATTGTCCATCATAACATCTCTGTTTGCTCAGTGTTTCGCTGCCAACATATAGCTGAGGTGGTTGATTGACCTGTTCTGTCTTCTCTCTTTTCATGGTTAGGGTTCTGAGTCCAGCATTTTGACTGGGAAGATCCCCAAAGAAATTTTGTCTGAGGTGTTCCCAGACTAGAATCTTTAATGTACTAGCAAGTACAGGGCCTGGCACAGTCCATTGCTCCAATCAGCTGGTGGTTGCAATTGCTGGGTTGGTTCTGTTTTCAGCCCTTACTTCACTGGAATCAATGAGTGCTGCAGTCTAGCCTGGTTCTGCCCAGCACATATTCAGCCCTCGCATAAACCAGTGGGAGCTGCAGCCTAGTTGGAGCGACCCGCAATAACCCCCACCAGGCTTGCCCCCTACCCTGGTTTGCCAGTATGTGTAACAGACCAGTCCAGTCTGTCCCACATCCCATTTGGCTCTTGTACATGTCAATTAGCATCGAAGCTTAGATCCATCTAACCAGCTCAACAATCAAGCCCTCCCGGGTGTTGTTGAGTGCCTCTCTGTCTAACCACCCCAGCCCCCGTCCTAGTTTCTGTGCCCTCCTGTGGGAGTGGTAACCCACGAGGTAGGAGCCCACTATTTCCCACCCATGTCTCTCACTCCCGGATTATGCATTATCCAGGTGGTTCTGTGGTCTGACTTGACAGAATTAGCCCCCAGTACTATCTTCTGCCAGCTGTTGCTGCAGCTAAGCCCTAATAACCCTCACCCACTCTAATTTTGTTTGCACAGTAGGAATAATCAGCCCAGCCTGGCTTTTCTCTGATCTAGTCCACATGAGAGAATGTTTTAAATCATGATTTCAAGAGGCCAGTAACATTTTCACAGAGTAGACAGATGGTAGGATCAGGGTCAAGCATTCTAGGTGCATAAGTAGAAGAGCCCTATAATTCCCTAATCAGCTCTGTAACAGATATTCTCTGCCAGGACAAGAACAGGATGTTTGAAGCTCTATCTAGAGCATGATGATCTCATGATATTACTCTAGTCTGGATCAAGAATCAGCCAAGATTTAGCTAGTTTCTGATAGTGATCAAATTATTTTGCCACATAAAGTACTTTTCTATTTTGTAACCCCTGATTTAGTTGGATTCTGTTATCTTTAGCATCTTTTTTTTCACATTTTATTATTATTGCTATCATTTTATGATATAGTTCCATATTCCCTTATCCCCTCCCCAGTTCGCCCCCCTCCCAGTTTCTTTATATCATTACTAACATATAGTTCTTCATACTCAGTCATATATTCATCATTGCGGGCATGGACAATGGCAGAGAGTCCAAAATCCTATTGTCAAAATATAATATAAACAGTTTCACTGTAAGTCCATCTTTAGAAACAGAAATGCATCCCACACTGCATCCTCACATCTGGTTGTTAGTCTCCATTACATAACTACTGTAGATTCCCTTAAATGAAAAGTCATGATACAAAATCAACAATAGAAAGAAAAATAGAAATTTACAATGCCATGAAGTTAAATGACATGTTACTAGATATGACAGTCTTCATTACACAACTACTATACCTTCCCTTAAATGAAGAGCCACAAAACAAAATCAACATCAGAGAGATAAAAGAAATTAACAACACCAAGAAGTTAAGCAACATGCTATTAAGTGTCTAATCTGTAGCTGCAGAAATGAAAATCAAGAACCTTCTTGAAGAAAATGATGCCCCTGCATGATCTATGAGTGATTGAATGATTTAATCAGAAGAAAATGTTTTGAAGAGATGAAACCAACAGAAAATATCAAAACCCATGTGATATAGTTTCCGCTAATCTTTGTTGGAATGTGTCTCCTCCCGACAATAAACAGATGGGTTTTGTTTTTTTAATCCAGTCTATTAATCTATGATGTTTGATTGAGCTTAAGCCATTTACATTCAGAGTTAAATATACATAGGTGGTACTTTGGTCCTGTCATTTTAGCAATGGGTTGTTCATTGGTTTAGTCTTCTGTTGTCATTTTACTGGGATGTTCTTCCTATTTGCCTTTGATTTTGGTAGGTGCTATTCCTCTTCTCTGTCAAGAGAACATCTTTCAGTATCCTTTGTAGGGCAGGTTTGGAAGAGGCAAATTCTTTGAGCTTTTCTTTACTCTGGAAGAATTTTATTTCATTTTCAAAGATGAAAGAAAGCTTTGCAGGGTATGTTATCCTAGGCTGACAATTTTTTTCTTTTAGAATCTGGAGTATGTCCCTCCATTCTCTTCTTGCCTGTAGAGTTTCCTGTGAGAGATGTCCTGTGAGCTTAATTGGCATTCCTTTATATGTCAATTGATGTTTTTCACGTGCACATTTCAGGATCTTTACTTTATGTTCAATTGAAGAGAATTTGATAATCATATGTCTTGGTGAATATTGCTTTTGATCAAGCCTGTTGGGAGTTCTGTGTCCCTCCTGGATCCTGTTTCCCAAATTCTTTCTCTATATTAGGGAAATTTTCCCTTATTATTTCATTAAATATATTGTAAAACCAGATTTTCTTTCTGCACCTTCTGGGACTCCCATAACTCTTATATTTGGCCTCTTAATAGTGTCTTTCAATTCTTGAATACTTTTTTTGGCCTGATCCAGCTCTGCTTCCAGCTTTTTGTTTGCTTCTCCCTGGTGACAGGAGATATCTGCCAATTCTGAGATTTTTTCCTCTGCTTGCTTCATTCTATTTTGGAGACTCTCCACTGTACTTGTAATTTGATCTACTGTGTTCTTAATTTCTGATATACCAGCCTTGATTTGCTTTACTGCTTCCTTAAATTCTTTGAACTCTTGCATGAGCTTCTCATTTTTGACCAGAATCTTCAAAATCAGTCTTATGGATTCTGTGTCCCCCATTTTCTCGATGTCTTCCTCAGTTAACTCTGAGGTTGGCAAAGGGTTTTTCTCCTTTGCAGGGGAGTTTTCAGTAATATTCATTGTGCCTTTGTTTCTTCTTTTGCTCTTGGTCATTGTACTTCTGGTTAGCAGAGTCTTCTCCTTGGGGTAGGTTTTTAAGCTGTGTCACCCACATGTCTACAGTTCAATTTTACTTATTGCAGTTGGTACACAACTCTTTGCTTGCAGCCACTTGTGTGACAACCTCCAGCAAGTTCCAGGTCTGGGTTCTTATGTCAGATAT